AGGGTAAGTTTATAATGATAAAACAATTATTAATAAATTATTTATTTTAATATTATTATAAGCACTTGATAAAAACAATGATTATCTTTTTATTTAAATATTTTAGTTTTATTGATCAAGAGTCGTGTTCTACTTGCGGGACTACTTCTCAAAATGTTAAGAAATGCTCAAAATGCAAGAAAGTAAAAAAGCTTTTTATTATTTGATTGTTCTTTCTTTCTTCCATTTTCTCTTTCTCTTCTTTCTTAAGGTTTGGTATTGCAATGTTGAGTGTCAGAGGTTATCATGGACTCTTGGGAATCATAAGAAATTGTGTAAAATTTGGTCGGGACAGAGCCAAGAAAAATCAAAGTAACGTTTTTCGATGACTCTAACAAACTACAACAGTGACATCAATTTAAAGATGACTGCTGATTTTAAAAATATTAATGTAAACATAGAAAATTTGCGGCATTTTGAAATTTTGACAGTTCATAGTTTTGGCCCAGCAATTTATATAATAATTGATGAGAGATGTGTTTTATGCTATTGTCTAACATGTAGACTAGTGTATATAGTCTACCATTGTATGGATTAATGTCCCAAGTATGGGCTAATTGAATATCTGTGGATTAGCAGCTGTCAAAACAAGGAAACTTAAAGAAAGTCTCAGAAATAAGAATCATGAAGGATTGCTCTCTTCTTCTCTTAACTGTATTAGTTCTCCAAGGGGCAAGAGATGTACTGATGGAGGTCTGTAATGGTGTAACAAATATAAATGAATTGGGTAAGTTTATGATCCTACATGTAATTGAGTTGCTCTTTTCATGAACTTTATATTACTAATAACTTGTTGTTTTATTCACATTAAGTTAGGCTCCCCAAATTAGAATGCTTAAAAAATTTACTGCAGAAAATAATAAATTATTTTGTTTATTTACAGTTAGTCAATATAGTCTTGAAGTGAGTACCAGTTTCTCTAGTGATGGAAGTTCCTTATCATTCAACTGTACTATCACTAATGGAGCAGCTAACTTACAGCCTGGACAAGAGTTAGTATGGACTGAAGGAGGAATAGAGATACAAGAAGGGACTATAAGATATTCAGTACATCAGGCTAATACCAGCTCTCTATTAACAATATACAATATAACTGATGGACTACAGTACGGTAAATATGGTTGCCAGTGTCACAATAGGTACAGCTATACACATAATTCACTCAGTAAACTGATAGTCACTGGTTCATTCATCCAACACTGCAGTAATGAAACTATCATAACAGCAGCACCACAATCAGGTCAGTGAGATGTCATCACTGTAATATTAACTTGTCATCATTGTAATATTATATGTTCTGTAGGTCCAGCTCCAATCATTACCACACATAATGTATCCAGTCCTGGTCAAACTGTTAGTATCACATGTAACCAGTCTATGGCAGTACTGGTTAAAGAACACAGTAATGGCTCATTGATAGAGACCATTAACAATATTACTGTCTCAACTCCTAATGATCAAGGGAAGTTTGGATGTATTCTGAATGATACAATACTAGAAATACATTATGTCACTATTGAAGGTATATACATTACATGTACACTGTAGATAGATAAAGAGAGATGATTCAATATCTTTTTCATCAATAGGTTATGAGCCAATTTCTCTTTTATTCCCACCTTCTCCTGGAACAATTCTTCTCCCTTTTTCAACTGACTCTAATTTCACACAGCCTGTGCAGTCTATTCTCCTCTTCCACTACAATCATTTCAAATAACTTTTAGAACTGGGAATTTTATTGTGGGTGGCCTTCAAAACACATACACCTCCAGTAGCCCCATTGAAGATTTGTATAGACTGAGCATAGTACCTA